TTGAAACAAGCATGATAGCAAAGTCATTGCCTCACATTACACAACAATTCTGTTGAGACTCCAGCATCTCCGGGGATCTGCAGAAACCAAACAACCAGTTCAGCTACGAAGGACAGATACATATATTACTATGCCTTGTTATAAATATCGATTAAAGTATATTGAAAGAGCAATTTGCATGCATCTCAATGGATACCTAAAAATGTCAACTTAATGCTCTATTATATCTCATTCTTTCTCTAGTAGGATTTGATTTAATCCAAATCAAGATATGCCCATTCAAGCTTCATATTTAATTGATGCTCTCAACATTACAAACACCCAGCTAATGATATAAAAATCATCGGGAAATTTAGCCAAAATCCCTCCATTAAACCCCTTGTTTGGTGGAAAGGACAATCCAATTTATTTTGATTCATAAACCCCCAAAAGAGGAGGCACATAATTGAGCAAAGACAAAATAAAATTTCTTATTTTTTTCTTAGACAATATTTCTCATGCATATCTATACCTCACAGAACTCTTTTGACAATGAACATTTCATTTTATTTTATACAAGTTTTAAAATGTTGTGTATGTATATTTTTGATTGGTTGATCTAGTATGTACTCTGTTTTTTGTAACAGTAAAATGTTACTGTGAATCAGAGTAACATATTACTGTGAGACAAAGTAACATATTACTGTCAAACTTTAATAGTATTTTTTTTTTTTTTTAAATTTCATAATCAACATGAATCTTATTTGATAAATCCTAATGAAAGGATTCTAAAATACTAATTTTATTAAAAACCAACATCTCGATCAAAAGTTATATTTTTTAATGTTTAAAATATTAAATTACTCACTAAGTATATTTTGATAATAGTGGTACGTGTTGGACATTTTAAGAAAAAATTTTTGTAATTGTCCTTAATACATTAAAGTTTTATTATAAAGAGGCTTTGACCAAATCCCCCTAAATTATCAGCTCAGACCAATTATGATTGCATGAGGTGTCTTTGTGCCATCTTGTTGAAACTCAATAGTACCTTTTATTCAGCATGATCTCAACGCAAATCCCCATCTAGCCCTTTCCCTTCTGCAAACTAAATCTAGACTGTTTTTCTAATACAATACTTTTTGTAAGGGACAATTGTAGAAAAATGGTAAGAACATAAAATAACTGCGATTTAGTGAAAGAACAATATTTGTTTGCACAATCTAATGCATAAATTGTTTGTACTTTCATCGTATTGCAATTATTTTTGCAGTGTTACCACTTCTCTACAATTGCCCCTTTTTTCTAATATCATGTAATCTTGACAGTGTACTTTCCATATGAAAATGACCTGATAAGTACTGCATAAAAAGAAAAAAAAAACAGTTCTTTCACTCCAAAAAACAAAAACAAAACAAAACAAAAAGTACCACAACAACAACAAACCTTGATTAATAGGAAATTCATGAGATACTAATGCTCTATTTGGTTTATTGGAATGGAATGGAACAGAAGAGAATGGTGATTCCGTAAGCTTTCTTATAGAATGACCATTCCCTTAAAATGATAAAAGATGATTCTATTTGTAATGTATTCGTCATTATTTTTTTAATCTAACCAAACATGAGAATGAATATTTTTATGGAATGATCATTCATTCCAATCCGTTCCTGTGAACCAAACACCACCTAAGGGTATAAGCATGCTGTCAATTGTAGATGCATGGACTTGGAGTGCAATAAGTCAAAAGAACATAATAACTTACAATTGGCCAAGATTTGACAGATCAAAGTCAGGAGCCAGCTCTTGCACAATATCATTGGGCGGTTGGCCACATTCTTGCATTTTCTGCATAAGCTCAACAATCTTGTTGAAGTTGCTTGGCTCAGTTTCATAAACTACAAGCAGATCTTTTATGAGTTTATATTGGTGGGAGTAACGGTCATAGTCATCTTTGCCCAAGTTAGATTTATGCTCTTCCAACCATTTTGGATATCTTTCTCCAATTTCTTTCATAGGCTCATGAAGAATTTCTTTTGACAAAAGTTGTTGCATCATGGTCTCCACAATAGACTCCATGTCCTATACAAAAAGGAAGAGATAACAATTGTTCCCCAATAGATTAAAAATTACGTGGTGTAATAGAAGCACAATGGGAAGAGAACAAGGAAACATATGGCAACAACTAAAAATTATAATAAACCAAATAACAATGCAAGGCTGTCATAACATTGCACATAGTCTACAATGGCAAACATGTTCTAAGTGTGGGTACGGACATATTACAGGTGATGTTTGCATAGATCCCCATTTGAATGGACAAAAATGTCCCCTTCAATCTATTAGAGGAGTAATTGTGTATTTACAGTTATTTATTCCCTATTTTAAGTTTAAAAGCTTGTAAACACGTCATAGGTTGTGCACTAAAAAAAAAAAAGATTTCAAGTGCCAGAAGTTATGAATTTTTTAACAACCTCTACCAGCAAAAGCAAAAGAGCAGTGAACAAGTGTGCTGGTTGGTTCTATGGTGATTAATAATAGATGTGTGGTGTATGTGATTCCCTCACCCTTGGAACTCTCAATTATCTTCATTGATTATAAAACACTACTATCTTTATGTTAGAAAATAAATTAATTAAAAAAAAAGTTCAAGTAGAGTGGAGTAGATTGAATGAATAGAAATGACTATAATAAAAGATCCAAAATCTTCTTATTTCAGGTGACACTAGTCTTGTTGTCAATTGGGGAGGGTGGAGGGTAGGGTGGTGGTGGTTATTGTTAACTCTTTGTATTTCAGGTAACAATAATGGTCCTTATTGCTAATTACAAACGTTTAAGAATATAAGACATTCATGAAAAAAAATTAAAATTTGAGATGGCATTTTCCTTTTCTGTTTCCTTTCATTTTCTGTGTCTGCATGTGTGTGCGCATTTGTGGATGTGGTGGTCAAAGGCAGAGGTAGGCCTAGCTGAATTTTGATTCTTTATTTTTATAAATTAATGTAGAATTTTATCAACATTTTTCAGGGTTTTACAGATTGACGCCAATGGAATTTAAAAAAAACAAAAGGCAACCCTCCCTCACTCAGCTGTATTAGGGGGGGGGGGGGGGGGGGGGGGGGAACAAAATTTATGCAAAACTTTTCGGGTTCTCCCTCCCTCCCACTCTCTTTCTGTAATAAGGTTATCATGTGTTTTGATAGCACATATAATGAGGTTATCATGCCGCATTCAGAAAATGAAAACTCATAGGGTTGATTTTTGTTGAAGCAATAGAATTAACGTCCCCAAGTTATATTTTTTTATTTTTGATAGGTTGCATAAATAAATAAACTGACATAATGGCATTGATGACGACTTGTTGAATGACCACACTAAATGAAATTCCTAGCTCCACTCTAGTTGGTGGTGTGGGGACAGCTAGGATGAAACCAAGTCTGCAAATGCCTCAAGATGAGGAGTGGAAAGCACAAAGATTGATCATCAATTATGCCTTGGCTGGTTAGTCCCCTCACAGGTGAGAAACTTATTTTTTAAAACTTCAAGCTGTCATACAAAAACCACAATCTAGGCAAGCCAAAAAAAGCCTTTGACGGCAACACTCAAATTACACTTGTAAAGATTTTCATTCCTTTTCTACTCTTTCCAGTGATTCCCAATGTCATTTCTAACTAATTGCACTACAAGGTTCAACATCAGCATCTAGAGTTCAAATGGTTACATAATCATAATTAGTTAGCCATGAATGGAATAACTTACACTAGCCACAAATAGCTGGTACCTAGTGTATAGGAATCAGCTGTTTCAACCAACAAATGTTGCAAAAGCAACATACTTTTCTAAATAGAATGTAGACACAACACTAAAGAAGAATATCAGAAGAACTAATACCCTCCAACCAACACTCAACCCTAACAGTGAACAAGCAAACTAACAAATACAAAAATTTGTGCTACCTTGTTGCATTTTAGTCACAAGAATAATTTCAATTTTTTAGATCAAATAAAGAAAGGTCACTAGATTCAAATTCTGACAGCATCCCTGCCACTAGACTATACGATGAACAACCAACTTCAATAAGTGAACCATTGAAAATAATTATAACATAATGTTCACACTTTAATAATGGACCTGACTAGGTGAGATCACCCTCAAAATCATGCAAATTGAGCAGTTCAGTTCCTGTCAATATAGAAGGAATTTTCAAACCATACAAAACAGTGATGTAACTGAAATCCTATATCTCTCAAAATCTTAAAATACCAAGCAAGTGCCTAACAACCTTGTAACCAAATCAGCTTTGAGATGCTAAGATACTCGATTGCCATAGAAGCAACCTACTTCTAATACTCTTCTGGCATAGCATGCAAGCCAATTTGTTCAATGCATCGCAGAAGTTACACCAAAACCTATCGAATCAAATGAAAGCCTTTTTATATTATGACATGCAATATATTATTAGGATCTAACCCCAAGGGGTTGGCCTAGTGGCAAAGCCTTGGGTCTTGGGAATGTGCTCCCTCCAAGGTTCAGGAAAACCTCTTAGGTGCTACAAATTCCTTGGGCCATCGGGCTAGGAGAAAACTTTTGAATTAACCGTGGTGCATTTGCGGGAAACTCATTGCCGAGCGCATGTGCACCCTGGGGATTAGTCGGGCTTTGACTCGAACACCCCAATGCCAATAATATATATATATATATATTATATATATATATTATTAGGATCTGATTAATATATAAGAACACTACAACGTTCTTGAACGAGTCACTGACCTTCACCTCAACATCAAGAAAATAAAAATTCTATAAATTCCATAAATACAAACACAACAAAACAAACAACTTGATAGAAATTATTCTTCAGTAAAAATAAATTCATTATGGCTTTAGAATATAGCTGTACCACATATCTTTATAAGATAAGGATGAATTAAAGAGGGCACGGAGTGCACCCTTGTATAGTAGAGGTATGCAAAATGTAAAGCAACAAAAACACTAATATAGGCACTCACCAAAATTAAGCTCGCCTAAGAAATCCATCAAGGAAAAAATCATCACAAGATTTCTCTTTGACACAAAAGTGGAAAAGAATTAAATAAGCATAACTAGAGCCCACGAAACACTGTCTGTCCTCAAAAGTTCTACAGTTTCTCTCTCCAAATACACCACATTAAGCACATAGGGGCTACCCTCCATGCCTTGTGCACTCTCTTGAATAGAACCCATGGCAACTTCAGTAAAATTCAATCATTGAAGCTAACATCACTTAATGCACCCAAAAATAGGGAACAGCATGCTCCACTAGTCTTAGACAACATCACAATGCAAATTCAAATGATTCATTATTTATTGCCTTTCTACACAAACAACATCAATTAAAAAGAACCAGCCCCTCCTCTCCAAGTTATGAATAGAGGATCAAATCCAATGCTACTATCCAAACAAAAAAAGCCAACTTGGATGACACCAAGACTTCCAAATGCTCTGCCACGAAAATGAGTTATGTACTCCATCACTAATAATTAAGTTAAAGGATTTCACAGGAAACCTTCCACCCCTATCTTCCTACATCATTTTTCCTTCACCTCAAAAACGTCAACTCTACAAAGAAATCAAAGAAGGCCTCCACTTCCCCCAACTCCCAACCATGGATTGCCCTAATGAAATGGGGTTCCAAAACCTCACCCACTGAGACTAGCACAATCTGATAGAAAGGCAATTTTGTTTACATCTATGAAGCACATTCACATACACGGGACACAGTGATTTCAAAAAAAAGGGGACACGGACACAGAGACAGACATGGCAGTTTTTTTTTTTTTTAATACATATATTTTCTATGTAGATTAATATTACATTACCAAATAATCAAAATTAATAAAAACTAACATTAACTCAATATGTATAAACCACTATATTAAACAAATTAATGGATTGTACATATTTGAACACGCGTGTCCCTTGCAAAAAAAAAAAAATTAAAGGTACACGCCATTTGGCATGTCCCATACGTGTCCCCACGTCCAACACCGCTACGACACCTATTTGAAGTGTTCATGCTTCATAGGTTTACATCAATTCTATACAATGCCATAAATGCCTTTGCCAAATGAATATCTCTACACTACACATTAGTCCCAAATCTTACTATTTTCCATCCCAATAAGCAAATCTTACATGACCGACAAAATCCCTCTAACCTTTACCAAATGACTTTCCAAAGACCAATCCCATAAGAGCCCCTTAACCTCCCTAGAAATCCAACCGGCCATATCATGCCCAAACTTTCCTTTCACTAGCTTTCTCAAGAGGCCGCAGGCTGCATTCACATATCTCCAAAGCCACATCCCAATTAACTAAATGATACTTGAACTCATCTTCAAGCCCACCCCATAAGAAATTCCACTAGAGTTTATCCAATCTCTCAGCCACATAAAATAAAATGGTGAAGAGAGATATATATGTCGAGAAACAAGCAAGCTAAGAAATAGTAACACTTCTAAGAAGGCATCATGTTCATATCAGATAGCGAAAATTTTCGTACACTCCTCGACAAGTGTCGAATGTGTCTTGTTATTTTAGTTTTTAATATGCTTAGAATTAGACACGGTCCAGACACTCTGGGAACACATGTTCATTGCTTAGACACATTAAATACAATATGTTTAAAGAAAAAAACTTAAGATCTAATGTTAAAATAATAAATACAAGGGCAAATTACACTAGTAGTCACTATACTTTGCCCTTTGTATCATTTTAGTCCTAGTAGTTTTAATTGGTTCGATTTTGATCTAAATTTTTAATTTTGTACCAAACTAGGCCAATTGATAACTTTGGTTACAATTTTTAACAGAAATTATGCACATGACTTGCATGTGGCATGTGCTATGGAAAAAAATTGTAAATTCACTTGGTGAGTAAACTTTTACCACCCAAGTACTGAGTCAACTCACTCAAATGTTTACTCATACACACACTCGGGGAGAGAGAGAGAGAGAGAGAGAGAGAGAGAGAGAGAATGTTGAATATGAATACCCATTGGGAAGCTTGTCGACGAAGGTGAGAAGCATCTTGAGCTTGCT